TTTTACATTAATTTCCCTTGGTTCAGGAATTTTACCCATGTTTCACTAGATTGTTGTTATAATTTTTCATATTTATTTATTTTTAGTGGACTGGCAGATGTAAAGCTGTCTTGCCTTCCTAAATGAGATCCACCTGTCTGTGTACTGGGTTTAGATTAACATGCAGACTGTGCACTGAAGTTGAGAAGTGACCTATATTTGATTAGCTGTCTGTAAGTGGTACATACAAAACAGGAATAGGGAACCTTTTACCTTTCCCATGGCCAAGAGGTTTGTGTCAGATGTTAGTGTATGCACTTAGCATTACTCAATCATGTAATAAAAAATAACTAAGGCTTATTTTTATCATGGATCATAAGGCGTAGGCTCTCTACTCTGACTTAAAGGTTAGTATGAGTGTGAGCCTGAAATAACTTGACTACAGCTAGCTGTTCTGAGAATGAACTGTTCATTCTCTTTGTCTTTATTTTGCAGTCTTTCACTCCATAACTGTTTAATTTTCATAATAGCTCTTCTTTTGAAGGACTTGGGAAAAGTTACTGATACTAATGAATGTGAACTGCATTACCCCACTGAGATTTTTAAGAAGTATGATGATTAATCTAAACCATTCTAATAACTGCTATGAACAAGATGGGGAAAAATTCTCATAAATTTAAGAGTGGATTTTCACAGAGGCAGGTTCAGGTAATCTTAGTAGGCTATTACCTATCTTCCTGGTAATGGTGTCTCACAAATTCGTAATGCAACACGCCAAAATCTGACACAATAGCCCTTGGGGTTTTCCTCTTTCTCAGGACTCAACAGAAGTTTATACACTATGCACATCAGATGGCGAAAAGATGGAGCCTAGGCCTCCATTTCTGTTGATGTTAGGATAGACCGAGGTTTGCCACTTACATTTCTTTACATTTTAGACTGTATAACCTTCTGATAACTATTTGTTTTTTAATTTTTCATTTCCAGCGTTCCTTCAATTTGAACTGGCAATTTTATTTCACCTGTAACGAGTAGATCTGGGAGAACATGTTCTTCTATATCTGTTGTGAATAATTAATGCAGATAAATCATTTAGCTGCTCTGCAGTGTGTTTATCTTGAATTAGTGATTCTTTGACTGCTTAATCATTTGGCAAATTTCCTTTCATTTCTGCTATTCCATGGAATTGCATTATTTTAAATTTTTTGCAAATGATGCTTAAATTTCCTCGCAGCTATCATACACATCTTACCAGTTGTACTTGAAATACCTTTTTAGCTGCTTTTGTTTGGAATCTCCATAGTCTGAAAAAAAATCTCTTGTAAGGCAAAATAATTTGAGACTCTATTCAAATAAATTGTTGCACCCTCACCTTTTCTTATAAATAATGTGCATCCTTTTAAGAAATGTATTGTGGTTTTGCATTTCTTACTCCTGATTTGGTCCTTTGTTGTGGTAATGGCTGTTGATAGTGATAAAACTTTCACTTTCTGTGTTTAATCTGCATGTTTATTACTGCATGTTTATTCTTTCTTTCAGGATGTTGAACTTCACAACATACCTGTTACTTAGTTCACCAATCATAGTATAGTATTGTGTAGTTAACAATAATCGCACTTTCTGCTGTAGAAGTAGTTGTAGTATGAGTTAATTGTCCAAAGTGTGGAAATCACTTTCTCTATGTCTTGCCTTTTGTTCAGTTTTATACAGAGAAATGAAATCTATAACTGTTTGATTGCTATTTATAACTATATTTTGCTTCTGCTAGCCATTATTGAAAATGTGAATGTATCAAATTCATGATTAAATAATATTTATATTTTAACTTTCCTGTTGTCTTTCAAACCTTGTTTCTTTTCAGTTTTACTGACATTGTCTTTGAGATGATTACGTCAGCTTTGTCCTCATTCTGCCATTTTTTTCTAATATCATAATGTGATTGTCATAACCTTCATTTGAAAGGAATTTGGTGGTATATTTTCGCACATAGTTTATTATAATTTGGAGATCTGCATAATTTAACCTCCCTTTTTATAATAGAGCATATTTACACATCTAAAGCAGTAGTCCTATGAGTAAGTCTAAGTGCTTTATAAATCCTAATGAGTTCAATCTGTTACCCTGCTGTACAGCAACACATTTCAGTTCCCGTGCCCCATTTTACAAAAAGAAAACTGAGAGACTAATATTGACTTGCCCAAAATCAGATGGCAAATAGAGGACTGGACCTTTTTCCCTATAGCTAATCTCAAATGTTTTTATGTTACTTCTTCACGTTGCTGTTTACTTCCTTTTTCATGGGATGGTCAGTCTTGTGCCGGATTAGGTAGGGCACAGAAACAGTACTAAGCTTTTGGGGGAAGGGAGTAACTGTGAGATATTGACAGCTGCTCTAGTGCCCAGAAAATAAATAGAAATTATTTTAATTGATAATGTGCACATACTGCTACCACGAAATTAATCATTTATTTGCATACCTTCTCACAGAATATTTATGCCTAAAAAAATCATGTTTTGAGTCAAGAAATCAATGAATTGTTAGAGAATTTGAGCTTGTCAGTGGTTTTATGCGAATAAAGGCTCACAGAAACATGTACAGGACAAATTTGGGAAAGCTTCTGTTGTGTTGATTGAGAAAATAGTTGCTTTACAATGAGCAGCTGTAGTTTACCATCATATGCACTGTGGGTTTGATTTGGTTTGGGTTGGGGTCTTTTTGGCCTAGAAATCCTCCCCTTGGATGGAAATATTGGAAGCTGGCCTTTAAGCTATAGACAGGGATACTTAAAGGGGAAGTCTTTCATTCACACCTGGTAATGAAGACGGCAAACTTTATAACTTTATTGACACTCTTATTTTTTTTTTAACTGGTTGGGAGTTACACTGTCCTTAAACGTTTTTATGAATGCAGAATTTTGCCAATTCACTCTAAAATCAAGACAGACTATTTCTAGAAGACATAAAATACTTCAAAATGCTGGAAATTTCCAAGTACTTCCGTTGTAGCTCAAATACACTCCAAATTCCCCTACCCTTTGCCAATATCAATAAGCAAAAAACTTTATCTAGCAGGGGGCAAGGTTGGAAGTTGGAGAACAAATGCTTCAGGCAAATAGCCTGTTAGCTGGCACTAAAGAGAGAGGTTAGCACACTATCAGACAGGATCTCAGGGGAAGTATGGCACCCTGGAGTGTAAGACTTTTTCAAGGCCTGGTTTTGCATACAATAACTCTACATTTAACATAAATGTGACTGAAATTGTAATGTAAGTACAAAATGTGCAATGTTTTATTCATGGGGGAAAAATAATTGTAGAAATGATGAGCTAAACTTAGGAGCTTGTATCTTTATAAATGAAAGTGCCCTGATTTTTATTTTTTGGGTTTTTTAAAGGGTCTGATTATTGATTATCCATACTGTCTTAATGGCTGTAAGGGAGCATTAAGAATCATGTAAATGTCAGGCCATTTTGATGCAGGCACTTAAATATGGACTCCATGTGCTGAGTGGTTCTTTTTTTGTTGGATCTACCTGGCTTCTTTCACATGTTAGAAATTATTTTGAAATTTGAAATTCCTCAGTGCAGGGTACGGTCTTTCCATATGTTTGTGCTGTTTCTGCAGATTGGAACTTTCAAAACAGATGGCTTGAAAATTTTGAAGAATCAGACTTGGACACCCTCTCTTAAAAGTGTACGAAACATATTATTTAATTATTGTAGTGGAGATGATGATTGAGTGTGAAAGAAGACCTGGGGGAGTCCAGCCTTCTATTGCTCCTCCTTCCTCCCACACTGGTTGCCTTATGTGCTCTTTTACTTATTCTCTTAAACAGTTTCTGGGTTTTTTTTTCCCCATCTGATTATTTTCTAGTATAAAAGCTCAAGTCTTCTTTTTCCTTTTCCTTTTCTGTGTTAAATACTATATTATATTTGTCAACATTGATTTTACATTCTGAGTTCAGACGATTAGTGAAACACAATATATTTTAATTTGAAGCAACATTTCTTAACAAAATAATTTTTTGGAGGGATAAACATGCATTGCACATACTTCTGGGATCTTGGCTGATTTTTAAGATACTGAAAAATGGAAAGAGAAAGGCTGTAATTCCTTGCCTGCTCCCATAGGCAATGAAAATGATTAATACTTGCCATGCTCAGCTTGGTACTTTCTTCTTATAAGAAGACCTTGGAGTTGCTAATTTCTTACTTCCAGTGGCTTAAATGGAATCTATTGAGATGTTTCTTTTTCTGGCTCTGGGAACAACTAAAATCTCATATTTATAAAGTAGGCAAGAAAGGGAAAATTTGAACACTACTGAGGCAACTTTTTAAAACTTTCTATTTAAAGGTATAGTCAAGGGAACTTAAATAGCTTGAACAAAGCTTGAGAGTGTGCGGTAATGAAAATGGTGATGACAGCTTCTCTTCAATTAACAATTTTTTTGTTGTGTGTGTCCTGGGTTCAGCAGTAGCAGTCATTTTTCTCAGTCTCAGTGGCTGGTGCAGTGCTGTGTTTTCGACTTTCAGCCTGGGAACAGTGCTGATAACACCGATGGTTTTAGTTGTTGCTCAGTAATGTTTACTCTGACCAAGGACTTTCTGAGTCTCATGCTCTGCCAGGAAGGAGGGGAATCCGGGAGCAAGCAGAGACAGGACATCTGATCCAAACTAGCCAAAGAGGTATTCCATACCACCGCACATCATGCCCAGGATGTAAAACTGGGGGCAGTTACCCAGAAGGGTGAGATCGGTGCTCAGTTGGGCTGGGTATCGGTCAGTGGGTGGTGAGCAGTTGTATTCTCTTCCCTTGTTGTATCATTATTATTATTGGTAGCAGCAGTGGGTTTGTGTTATACCTTAGTTACTGGACTGTTCTTATCTCAACCCATGGGAGTTACGTTCTTTCAGTTCTCCCCATCCCTCCAGGAGCCAGGGGGAGGAAAGGAGAAGTGAGCAAGTGGGTGCAGGGTTCTGATTTATGGCTGGGCTTAAACCAGGACAGTGTGTTACTTCTCAGTCAAATTTTCAGGGAAAGAATAGAAGAGAGTGGGAATGACTGGACAGCCCAGTACATGATGGTAACTGCTAATAAAGAGGTGGTCACTCAGATTTCCTTATCTCTGTGGGAGGTGCGTGTGACTGCATCTTTAGCATAATCCTGCCACCCTTTAATTCTTAGAGCATCCCCTATTTCTGGCAAAAGAAGTATTTATTGCAACATATTTCAAAGGAAATATGGGATTTTGAATTTATCGTTATTTATCTAAACCAATCCCCATGGGACAAATACATTCCCAGCAAATCCTACCGGGGACTTTCCTTCAACACAGCAGAAAGCACAGAACGAGCAACTTTTTCTAATTAAAAACCTGTCAGAGGTCGCTCTAACTCATGAGATTTACACTTCATAGTCAATTCATTAAAATAAGATTGTAGCAGAAGTTCATAAAGGTCTATTAGATGACTGTTGTCTTCAGCTGTATTTGACTCCCTTGCAAGGAAAGAAAAAAGGGCACAGCATTTGTGTTTTATAAGATAACGTGTCATAGCTGTGAGCGGGGGTGATCCATTGTCCTAGACTCGCTCAGGATTTATTTCACTATGCTGAGAAAGCCAAGTGAAAATACAGAGAGTATAAACTGTGTGTGGTTTCTTTTTCCCCATTGTTTTTTTGTTATGTTGTTTTGTTTTAGCTGTGCTCCTGTAGTCCAAGGCCACCTCCAAGGCTTCCCACTCCCTGAGTTGAATGGCCGCAGGCAGCTCATTATTATGACTTGTGCTGCTGTCTTCAGCATTTTAAAAAGTCTTTTTCTATTTCCTCAGCAATAAGAGTGTAGTCATTTCTACTGCGACTCTTAACCCTTTTAAAAAGAATTTCTTTAAAAATCATCTGTCAAGGGCCTCAGCTTGGGCTGTACGTGCTCTTGCTGTGAAACAAGCACACCACCTAACTTGATGAATACCTGGAGAAAACTACAGTGGCTAGTACATGTTGGCAGGCTCCCTAGCCAGGGCACTGGCATGGATTCTTACCCTGCATTATGGAGAAATGATTGAGATATACAGTATTTTAGTTGAAAGGGACCTACAATGATCATCTAGTCTAGTACTAGGAAAGTCACTTTAATTCTCGCCTTTTCTTTCCCCTTCTATACTGTCTCTCTCCTTTCTGGCACATTAGCTTGTAAAATCTTTTAGATTCAGCCTCATACAGACTAACTGAAGAGGCTAATGAAGCTGTCCCTGACCTTCAGTGCTGCCCGGAGTAGGACATGTTTTAAGGTGATGGGTTTAAGGTGTCCACTCACGTATATAGCCTCTACCTCATTCACAGCACAGCATATGAGACACTTCTTTTAACTTCATATTTCAACCTCTGTAAATACTGCAGGATTTTAAATAATTCATACTGCTTTATCCTGGACTGCAAAACATCATTTCTGTGTGACTGGAGCAGGAGTTTGGTGTGTCTGTGTGTATGGGACATGACCATACCGCAAGCATGCTGCATTGCTAACCGGTCCCACTTGGGAATGCTGCCAAAGCATAGATATCTTAGAAAGCCAACCATGGCTGCTTTGGTAGTATTGGTCATTCAATTCAATGTCGATGTGGTCTTCTTGCCTTTTGTATTGAATGTTAGTAGTGGGATGCAGCTTAGGCCTGTGGAAACCTTGGATCTACTTTCTCCATATCTGCCTCTTTGTGGGAAGAGTCTTGCTCTGAGGTGGTCGATTCATGAATAGAGGCAGATTTCACCACTTTTAATGATTACTGTATCCTGGAGATTGGTGTTGTGGCAAGGGTGGCTGAACCTTGTGTGGAGCTCTTGAGCTGTCATCACTTATTAGCTGAAATATTAAAGCAAATCAGTACAGACTTCATGCTGATCTAATACACAGGGCCAAAATTTGTAACAGAACTGGCATATATGTAGTTCCATAGTGAAAAACAGGATTATGAAGAGGAGTAAGGCCATCAAGGTGCTTTAATCACTATGTGGTTTTCAAATGGAGTCCTTTTTCCTTGTTCTGATGTTTAGAAATCATGGGTGAGCTGACCTGCTTTGGGGTGGAGGTCAAGGGAAAATTTTTGCAGTTAGTGGGAAAGAAGCACATGGCAGGAGATAAAGTTGTGGCTTTTTGCTCACTTACCTGCCAACTTTAGCACAAAACAGCGGGAGCTGCTGTAACAAGTTAGGGCAACAATACATTGCTGATTATTCATTAGATGCTTGAAATCAGCATGTGTTTAGTAAGGCAGCAAATTAAGGACTGACTGACAATAACATGTTCATTTGTCTTTAAGAATTTGTCTAATGAAGGGCTTACAACCGTATTTAGGTTTTGTGTATAAAGTTCAGGTGAGGTGTGTGATGTATTCTGATGAATATGGATGAATTGAATAAACTGAGAGGATTTGGGGGGTAAATTCAAAACATCTTTGATGCTCTTTGTCTTGATGATGCCCCTGCTTTGGCACAGACAGGGTAGGCAGGGTAGTTTAACCTGTGCTGAATTCCTTGCTGCTGTGGCCACTGTGACTAGCAAGTGAGCTGCTTAGTTTTTCCAGTGGCACAGTACACAGCAAGCACTGCGCTGGGGATGGACATTCAGACTCTCATTGTTTTGGTAGAGAATGAATAACACTGTTACTTCACAGCACTGGAAAATGTAAATATTGGCGAATAAATCTGATTCTTGAGGATGAATTGTTATATTTACTTCCCAGTCTCATGACATTGAGCAGCTTTCCAGTGAAAATGCTTGTTTGAAAATACAAGGTACTGCATACCAGACCTGATAACTTAGTGTGTTTCTGAGTACCTGGAAGACTTTTATGGCATGCTTAATGTTGCATCAGATCTTCTATACCTGCTGTTCATGTTTATCTGCCCATGTTTATAATAAAATATCAAGTGTCTCTTTTATTCTGGGGACTGTGTTACCATTCCCACATATAATACCACAGATAGGAGTTGATCCTTCTGTGGGGACTGTCAATATTTTTCACTGTTTGTATTTTATCTACTTTAAAAAAATGCAAAATAGAGGAAATCTAACAGAGTACTGGGTTTCTTGACTTCTGTGAGGAATACAAAATTATTTTCTACTCCTATACCAGAAAAAAAAACCTTCTGCGTTGACCTTAATGGGCTTACTCACTGTGGGGATTTGCATCAGTTCCATCCAGTTGAGAGATTCATCTGATTCATTTGATTAATTCCCCTTCAGATAAAGAAAATACAGAAAAAATACCTAAATGGTCATGCCTTCTTTTAATCACTATGCAGTAAGACTTCCTAAACCTCTTCATTTGAAACTAAGCATCAGCAGGGTTACTTTCACCTCTTCAGAAAATGGACACCCATTCTTAAGGACTCTTAAAATATGTAGCAGTGAGAAAAATAACTGACATTTAAAAGTGAAGATGACAGGATAACTCATGAGAATTTGCACTGCGTCCTCTTCCTCCCCTCCACACCTCCTCCAGTAGAATAAAGAAACTTGGAAAAAATACTGAAAGAACACAACAAAAACTGCATATTTGTGATAAGATTTTTTGCATCTATGTCTTTTACAACATTCTGTTTACTTCTCTGGTCCTCATATGATGGTAATTTTTTTCACATGTATGATATTTTTCATTCTTTATGTTTGTATGTCTTTTTATGAGCTCATAGCTTCAGTTCTTGCTTGTGAAAATCTGAAGCATGTCTGTAGCATTTCTCATTTTATTGTCTATAGAATTATGAGCTTCTTGAATCTGATTGTTCTCTGAACTAACTCTATATCAACTCCTACAGTTCTGCAGTCACTGAATTCTTGAGTTTCACGGTTTATCCTCTGTGATTTCTTCTTTAGCTTATGTAAGAATGTACGTTTTCACCAGGTTTATTTACCTCTCTATTATATATGTTTTTTTAAGTGAATGCAACAATCTTTTCAGTGTCTTGTGGCAAAAGATGACCAGTAGCCAAACTTCAAAGGGGGATACGCTTTACTCAGCTGTTATGTCCTCAATTACATCATGCACTAGAGAGAAATGGCTGTCTTTAGTATTGCATCCTATATGTATAGGTTCTTGTCTCAGTCATGAATATGAGAGAGGAATGTATTTGAACTAACTGAATCAAAAGTTAAACTTATGGATATTTTAGTTTTTTTGTTTATTGCAGGTAATTAAAGTATATAGTGAAGACAATACTAGCAGAGCTTTGGAAGTACCAAGTGATATAACAGCCAGGGATGTATGTCAGCTCTTGATACTGAAGAACCACTACATTGATGACCATAGCTGGACTCTATTTGAACAACTTACCCACACAGGTTTAGGTAAGATTAATACCATACAATTGTATGGCAGTAAACAAGGTGTTTGGTTTTCATTTTTGCATAGAAGTACAATTGTTATAGAAAGGCTTGGAAGCTAAATGATGGAGGACTTGTGTGAATTTATTCTTTTGGGGGCTTGTTGCTTCTGTTTCTCTTTTTGTTGAAAGCATAGCTATAAAGTACATTTTGTCATAGTGCATTTGCCTCACACTACTTTTTCTGCATCTGTAAGAATGATTTGGAAGATGCTGCCCATTTAAGGTTCTCAATGCAAATTTTTTCTCACTCTTCCTTGCTTTCTTTGTCAGTTCTTTTTTTTTTACTGGTATTTCCTGCTTGTCTAGCAAGACAACAAAAGCTTTCCTGTTTCCAACACACCTGGGTGAAATCTCTGACATCAAAGACAGAAAGCAGTTACACACTGCTATTCTATCTGGACAATAGGACTCAGTATTCAAAATCAACTTTAAAGTAGGCTGTCAGTATTTTCTTTTAATGCACTCAGTTTGGCTACATCTGTTGTGAACTCTAGGACAGGATTATTTAAAAGGCAGAACAAAACCATTCTTCTAAACTCCAGTTTTGGACCAATGAGCTATGTTGAAGTGACGTTATGCTTAGTATTTTAAGTTGCTGGAAATGAAACACTCTGAACCCCTTCGACATCATCAGTACTCCTTCTCTTTCTGCTACACAGTTTAAAAGGTGTAATCCATGGTTTCACATTACAACTATGGTTTTGCCTTCTGGTCTCTGTACCTTTTTCAAGTGTAGAGATGTAATTTTGCAGTGTAAAAACACATTAAGATAAACTAATACAAGGACAAAGGGGATGTTTGCAGAGACGTAAGAAATACAGAACACATGAAAGACTTCACTCAGCAAAAGATGAGTTTAGAAGTCCACTGCTAGGATGTGGTATTGCACTGATACTCTAGTCAGACAATCTTACTTTTACAGCAGTACTTTTCAGTTCTGTATTGTGTTTGGTTTTGATAAGGAACTATATCGGAAAAATTTACTAGAAGACAAATACCATTAGAAAAAAAAAATCTGCTTTAAAAAAAATCTGCTTTCAATTTCATGTCTCTGAAAACTTCCATATTATTATTTAACTTTGGCACTGTACTAGTTACCAAATATAGTACTTCTGCAATTTCAAAAGCAGTTCCAGCTGCCCAGTGCAAAGCGCTGCTTGAGAAAGATAATGTTTTGGGGCCTTCCTGCATCCTAAAGCACATAGAAAACTTCTTGGAGTCCCTAATTCTCAGAAGAGACTGCACTGATATCTGGCAACTCCAATACTGTAGATTTTTGAAAAAAAACCTCACCATCAACAAAAAAACAAACACCCCCTCCCTTCCCCCCCTCCCCAACCATGGAGATTTATATCCATGGAGATTTATATGGCTAAAAGCCATTGTTAAACTCTCTTTCTGTGTATTTACCTAGGGAGTCTGGGCTTGCGCATTTGTTTAAAATAACTGTGCAGCTCTGACTGTATTATGTTGAACAGCCATATTTTAAAGATGAACTACAAAAGCTAAACCTGTTTTCTGCCCTTTTCTGGTCCTTTATCCCATGAAGGCAGTCACAAACATTTTTCATCTTTGTTTTTGTTGCCTTGTAACATTTCAAAGATATTTAAAACCTTTTGCACTGAATGTATCAGTTGTAAGATGCTTCCAGCTCAGAGTAAGGTCAGAGTTAAATCTGGGTTGAGCACTGCTACAGAAGAGGAGGTACAAAAAGTGGATTTAGACAGCACTACTATATAAATAGTAGTAGTGTTTTCTGTATTTTATAGTGTGGCTGGTGTTTAAGTGGTGTGGTGTTTAAGTGGTGTAGTGTTTAAGTAGTGTAGTAGCTATTGAAGAAGACACTTTTGACAAACCATGCCAGAGCAACAGTGGCTCATACACTCTTTGTCCTTAGTCTGGAGGATTTCTTGGAAGATTTCAATATAAAATCATTAGTGAAGTTGCTTTTCCTAAGATTATGAAATCATAAAAATTGCTTGTGTGCTTAGGGCATAATTTTAGAAAGAGACGAACTAATAATTTCTAAAATAAAACAATTTCTTAGAATCGCAGAATCAACTAGGCTGGAAAAGAACTTTAGGATAATCAAGTCCAACCTCTACCCCAGGACTGCCAAGCCCACCACTAAGCCATGTCACTAAAGGCTGGTTTTTGAACACATCCAGGGATGGTGATTTGACCACTTCCCTGGGAAGGCTGTTCCAGTGCCTGATCACCCTTTTGGTAAAGAAATTTTTCTTAATAGCCAGTCTAAACTTCCTCTTATAAATGGCAATTCAACATTACTAAGAGCAACATGAGATTTCTTCTATGTTTTTAATGATACTGAATAATAATAGGTTTATTTTTATGACAGTGTTAGATTGGTTTTGTTTGAAAGACTTAACATATTGATCTTGACTTGCTTCAAGTATGTTCTTAAGCACTGGATGAGTAGTGTGAACAAATATTTTTCAAATGATGACTTGATTTTGGACTGTTTGCTATTTATTAATTTGTTGTGTATTTTATCCATGGAAATTTGGACAGTCTTTTTCTGCTCCCAACTTAAACAAATAGATACAGAAAGGAGAAATGTGTATGTTTATGTAAATTCCAGTATTACAGGGATTAATAATTTATTCATCTATTAGTGAACATTTTCTTTAATGTCTAACAGCTGTCTGAATACTCCTGAATTAGATATAATTGCATGAATCTTAGTGAGCTGAGCACAGTGTTCTGCTTTTAATCAAGACAGACATTAATTACTTGACTGGAGTGTTCGTTCATTTCTGTGTGGAGGTGCCTGCATGTGAAAGTTAAAAAAGAAGGAAAAAAAGAATTCCACCTAAACCAAAACCTAAATCCACAGTCTGCATATTCCTGTTTTCACAATCCTATATGCCTTTTAGTGTGGAAATGTATTGTTGTACATTAAGCATCGTCGTGTCCTCACTATGCTGCATGGCAAGCACTGACCAAGTGGTGTTGACTCAGGGCAAGTGGGCAGGTGAGATGGTTCCTCCACCACCTCCCTGAGGCACTGACTGGTGTACTCCATCTGCCTGCCTTTTGACACCCATCACAACCCGCTGCCTTTGCCCTGTCACCTCGGATGCTCAGTCTTCCTACCAGCCACCAAAGTTTTGCAGTAGCTCTATTTCAGCTATCCGAAGTACGAGAACTATTACAGCACTATAAATCTCAACGTATTTCAGAACTGTGTGCTTCTGATATGTTCCCTCTTTGTCCCATTGTCCCAGGCTACTGGGAAATTCAAAGATTCAAAGATAAATTCATAGATGTTTTTCATCTTGTCTGAGATTATTAAAGGCTGCTGAGGTATCCCTGGATGCAAGGTGTCCCTGCCCATGGCAGGGGGGTTGGAACTTGATGATCTTAAGGTCCTTTCCAATCCTAACTATTATATGATTCTATGATTTGGATGATGCCATGTCATCCCTACCGCTAGGTATCTTGGTGTTTGGGTCACGTAATTCCCCTATAGAGACAGGGCAGGCTGTGAAAAAAGTTTTCCATAGCTGTTCTCCTTTGAAAGAAAGTACTATCTTCATGCTGAAAATTTTTCTTCTCTAGTGAGAAATTTTTGTGTTGACTGTAAACATTTTTCATTTTGCTTCTGCAGCTCAGTAGACTTGCATTCTAGGATTCCTCTGTGAGTAGGCAGTAGTGGTTTGGCCAGGCACATCATTGTTATGTTTGACTGTCTTGTTTTGATTTCACTATCTGCATTCTTTTAGGTAGTCTGTGGGAAGGCTCACAAAGCATTATTTGTGCAATAGTACCGAGCAATGGCTTTTCTGGTTTTCATTTTGTTTAATCCCCTCCCTGATTTGGGTGCCTAGAGGGACCATTTGAAATGCATTCTGTCATGGATTTCAATATTAAATCTTCTTTCATGTGCTTTAGTTATTTTCCATAGTTAAGGAGACTCTTTTGGAGAAGGTGGTCCTCATGTTAGAGGTAGTAGTAATAGAGATGGTAGAGAAGGAGGCAGAAACTTTGCAATCTAGCTGGAAGAGAAAAAATGATCTAACTAAACCAAAGTGTGGCCTTTTCATAGCAATATTTAGGGATTTGATTAGAAGGCTGTGTTTTGGAGGACACTAACTTTGTATTTTGGTTCCTTCAAAAAAGCAAGTTGAATAAATTGTAGAATATTCTGTGATATGTCACCTTAAAGAAATACCAGTAGCCTTACCCATCCATTGGGATGATAGCGGAATTTCTTATATTTGTAAAGAAGTAAGTCTTGAGGAAATGGTATTTTCTTAAATGTCATAATGCCAAGCATTCAGGAGTTTTAAATGTCATCCCAGAGGAGCACTTTCTCTCTATAAAATTGAAAGGAAAAAAAAAAAAGCTGGTTTTGAGGAAGAGCTTCAGTTCTTTAGTGTCTCTTGCACCTGAAGAATGTGTTTTGCAGTAGAGCAGCATGTACAACACTTTTCAAAGTCTCACTTTATTTTGGGGGTATTTTTTGTTTTCTGGTTTTGTGTGCTTCATTTAATACACTTACAATATGTGAGTTTCATGTAGCATCCTTAATTTCTGTCTTTATGGCCTAAGCAATGAGTTAAATTCAGTAGAAGTTTTAACTTTGCCCTGCTTGTTCGTCAGAGTGCTTTGTCTTATGCCAGATGTGAACCTGATATTTTCCCACTGAGGTGAAATTTAGCTGTATGAGTGTATTATCTCTAATTTTGCTAGCTGGAAACTTCATAAAGAAGCTTATAGATTTGTGGGCTACAATAAAGCTGTTACCCAATAGACTGGACAGTGTGGAAGCATGAAGCAGTGACTAAGATTAGAAGATCAGTAGAAAGATATTGTGGTTCTAAAGAGGTTTTAATGATTTCAAATGAGGTTTGATTTTTATCTGTTAGGATGTTGTCCACACTACACTTTAGGAAAGTTAGGCTATTTGTTTAGCCAGGACCACTTGCAAAAATTTACCATTTATATTAATTTAATGTTAAGCTTAATTAAATTTGGGTCTTTTTTAAAAAATACTATTATTTTATGTGTTAGGACTTTTAAAAACAATTTCTAATAAAATTTCTCTAAGTGGAGAAAATGGGATTAGAAAATTAGGATCACAAAATTGTAAGTTGCGTGGTTTTTATAATGAATTTTTAATTGTCTTTTCCGGTTGAAACCATGATCAGAATTGGATGTTAAAATCCCATAACTGGCAGAGAGACGTCAGCTTAGAAGTCAAATTTGTTCTTAACCTGTAACTCATTGTTGGAATGTAATTTAAATTTGGAGGTGCCAATGATAATTTAAATAGAAATCTACAACTTTGATAAATTCCGTTATATTCTCATTAGTTTGAGTCCACAACAAAATATGAAGAACACAAAAACTGTGTGCTCATTTGGAAGCATGTCCATTGTGGGGTTTTTTTTTGTTTTTTTTTTTGTAATATCAATTCACAAGCTGATGAAATGTACAAAAAAAAAGGGGGGGGTATGCAGTATTAATAATATTGTAGACAAATTGTGCATATATGCATAGTCTTGAGGACTTATGCTTAACTTCCTGCACTATGAGTATTCCTGTTGCATTACTCAAAGTATGCAACATGTCAACAATCACCACACATATACTGGAAAGTTCTTAAATTCTGTGTCTTTCCTTTAAGTTCATTTCATATTGCTGTAAAATGGAAAAACTCACTCAAGAATCTAAATGGCAGAAGCAGTCTAAAACAGTGAGAATACCGTTTCTGTTTGCCAGTGCTGTGCTACAACTGAATTCTTTGCTTTTTCTTCCCCTTGCCCCACTGCAAAGACAAACTACACATTAGGATTCACTTTGTAGGTTATTTTTGGTTTGGTTTTTATTTTTTTCATGGCTTACTTTTACCATTCCTTTTGCATATTCTAGTCCTACAGCTGCTAGGAAGACATTTCCAACAGAAACCACAGACAGGCTGAGTGAATGGCTGAAGTGGTCTGCTGACTGCTGCCCCATGCATCACATAGCAGGAGCTGCTTGGCTGCTGCAGGGAGAACATGGATTTGGCCATGCAATAGGATAAAGCCTTCAGCTGCCCCTTTAAAAGAAACAAAGCACAACAAAAATAACCCATGTGTGACCTACCTCAGAAGCTGGGCCCTACTGAGGTGGAACAGCAGTTTGGTGTAATATGGACCTAAGTAGCGGACTGTATTCAGGTTGCTTGTTTCGTTGTTTGTATTTGTTTAAATTAATATAATAATATTTTTATTACCTGACCTTTATGTTTTCACATTCTACTCTTAGGCTCTTAAGGTGCAGGTTATGTGGGTTTTGGTTTTATTTTAATTTGTTTGTGTTTTTTTACAGGAAGAGCTATAGAGGACCATGAATTAGTAATGGAAGTCCAGTCAAATTGGGTAATGGAAGAAGAAAATAAACTGTATTTTAGAAAAAATTATGCCAAGTATGAATTTTTTAAAAATCCACTGGTAAGTCCTGACATTATGTCTGTGAAGTGGTGCAATTGCTGTAGTTACAAGAAAGTCTTTTCTGTTACATGTGGATAGGCAGAGTGTAAAGTTATTAGTGAGTCAAAAGGAGTAACTGGGAGAGAATATATGAGATATAGGAACATACGAGTTGGCCATGTAACTGTTGTCTAGTCCCTTTGCTGCAATTGTAAAACATCCCTGTTCATATATTTAATTTTTGGGGGGTGAGGGGGCAGGCATGCAGACATGGGCTTAACTTTATGGAAGTTTGCACATAGACCTGCAACAAAATAAAGTTATTGAAATTGAATGAAGTTGCCATCAAGTGACAACAAAACATAAAATGAAGCAGTGTGAGGAGGGGCATCTGTAGCAAAGATGGATTTTATTGTTAAAGTGGAAATCGAATGTTATGGGCCAGCGCTGCCCAATGACAGCTTCTCACAGCTGCAGCTAAATGACAGCTGACACAAAAGGCTGTGAGCAGCTATAATCTATTACAAGTAACTGGAAGTGAAGACAGAGTTATGTATGTAAAGAATGGAAGGAGAGCAGAGACAACTTGTAATTCAAGCATGTTGCCAAAGTTTAATGTTGCTAATTCAGACACTGGCTGATGGCAAAGGTCATGGAAGCAGTCCTGGCTCAGCTGGAGAAATTCACCATCTGGTTGCCCAAATGCATGGTGTATTTGGATCACTCCTAATGCTGTCTCTTATAAAGCCAGCTTGTTTCAGATGTCAAAGGGAGAAATAGCAGAAATATATGAGGACTTGAAAGGTGAAAAGTGGGAGGGAACTCAAATTATCTACCTGTGAAAAGGATGAAAAGGTAAATATTAAGATAACAAAAGATCCAAGAGATGAGTTTTTTTTCTTTCTCCATCTGTGTTTCTCTGAGCAAATCATGTACTCCCCAGCACAGAGGTATCACTGCACCAGTGAAATATTCTAAGCTTCAGACAGTCTATGATTAGCTGGGTACCTTTCAAAGAAGTGTGTGGTTAACCAGTGAGTGGAACCAGCTGTGGAGTGTGGCAGACATGCAGCTGTGACTAGCATAAGCAACTGTGGTTGATCAGAGACCCTACTGTTTCTGCTGAGTCATTCTTCTGGGTACTGTGGACCCAGGTGTAGCAGGGATGCTTTATCAGAAATGAGTTGATATGAATCAACCCTGCCAGTAGTTCAGTTTTATTAAAAATAAAGGTCACTGGACATTGGATGATCAAAGGAATATTAGCTTCAAACTTGTCTGGACCTTGAGAAAACTTCATAAGTAATGATCAGATTTCTTGTCTTGTTCATATTTGCGTGGCTGCATTGAACTCCCCAGGTGCAGGTCTGTCCATAAACTACCCCATAATCTTCCCTTGATAATGAAATTGACACTTTAAATGCGGACTTTTAAACCATACCATATTGATATAGTCAGATTTAACTGATTTTCATACACAAAGTGGACAGTTAGATAAAAACTGAGAGGACTTATTCTCTATTAATGGAAGTTATTCCAAAATATTTTGCTGGGTTTCTAGTGTAAGCAAAGCAATAGAAAACAATGTTGGCATATATTGCCCCTACTTTGCAGCACACTGAGCCCCAGGCAACTCTTATACATCAACAGCGATAGAAATTACTACTAGAAAAACAGCACTAAGGGCCAAGTACTGGTGTATGAAACCCTCTTGCTTCCAGAAACTGCTGATGTTTTCTCAAAATTCTTAAGATTTTCAGAAAATAATGTATCAGATGCCACAAATTTAGGAATGATATTAAGGTAAATGTGAATTACTACATCAGAGAATCTGCAGTGTCTTGCAGGGCATGGAGAACTTTAATTTTACATCCAAAAGAGATAGGAAATTTTATGTTTATTTTTATTGAACTCTGATACAAATTGTTATTGTTCCAGAGCTTTTTTCCAGATCATATGATATCTTTTCCAAGTGAGACCCATGCAGCTGTAAGCCACTCTGGGATATTACAGGTATGTAATCTTTAATGAAGATGAGCCAACATAACATTGCCTGTTTTGTTGTAAGCATAATTCTTTGTCACTGCTGGATCTGTTCCTAGGTTTTGAATAACTCAAAATATGGTTAATATTTTTTGTTTTTTCCTTATGAGATATGAAGTGGTGTGTCCCTTCTAGATAGTTACTGTATGACCACACTTGGAAATTTACACATTCTTTCAGAATCACAGAGTGTCAAAACAGAAAATGAAGTATGAAATAGTTAATGCCTTTACTGGGTATTTCAGGTGAAAGACCGTGTTTCCTTAAAAAGTTGGAGTGCTGCAGTACTTGGCATATACTTAACAGCAGGTATTGGTAGACTAATGAGGAAATGGTAATGTGATACAACTGGATATAAAGAAAAGGCTTAAATGGTTAATCTTAATGAGTAGAAAATTTAGTCTGACTAGTATGATTTGTTAGCTTGAAGGCTACTGTAGCCTTTGGGAAAAAAATGGTAGGTCACTCAGTGTTAGTCATCTTTTAAGCAGACACAAGATTTTAATTTACAGTGGGAATAATTTCACAGAATGACCATATCAGGGATCATCGACTTACTTCCCAAAGAGGGGAAAAATGAGTAATAAAGGTGGAAACATACTCATCACTCTTGTTTGCTTGTCACTAGAAAAATTAATTAATAGAAGAACTTTCACTAGTCTTAAGACAACAAGCCTATGTGTGAGTTTGGGGATAAAGACTGATTGGAAAGGCAACATAATAACACCAAATATTTAAGGTAAAACTAAAGGAAATATTAAAACTAGGTTGTTGTTTGGGTTTTTTTTTTAATTATATAATAAATTCTACTTTAGCATCTGCCAGTAAATGAAAAACATTAAACAACTAATTCTCAAAACATTCCTCTGTATTAAAAAATTATATCCTTATAAAAGTGGATGTTAGTCAGGAGGTTAAGTTAACCCCAAATGGAATAAAAATGTTTCAAATTAAATATAATCGACTCATACTAGATTCTGTAAATAATTTTTACAAACCTTAAATAAAAAAATTAATTGCTACAGATGCTGCATATCTAATGAAAATTGGTTCACTTTTGCTCCGCAAATAGCAAATAGATTTTGCAGTCTAACATAAACATTTGATTTAGATACTCTTGCCCATATATGATATATAGCGAATGTGCAGAGCTTGTGGGTAAGATTAAGAATCATTCTAAATAGGTAATGGTTACACCCCATTTTGGTAGATGGAAAAATCTGTTGTCAACACTCATCTGTTGCTATTTTATGTTGTATTGTCTGTTTAACTATATTTTGTTCAATAAAATTTAGGAGGCATAAGGTAGAGAATACCTTTGTGGATTATGCAGTCGTCGCACACGTTTCAGCAGAAGCTGTTAGGTCAGTTGTTTACAGCCAGTCGCTCTACCTTTGGAAACTTTCATTAAGATGAATTAATAGTCTTGGTTATTATTTGTGATGTGCTGCTTGATCAAGTATCAAGCAAGACATTCATTTTAACAACTCAATGCTTACAAATGATTAAAAAATAACTTCTGGTACATCTATAGTTTTTTGTGGATTGAGCAGTGAGCAAATAAAATATTTTTCAAGTATGTTTTTCTTGACTTTCATCAAAAGTGAATATTTTGGCTGATGACTTTAAGTCAGAACATCTGAATAGCCTCAAAACAAAAAAAAAAAAAACCAACCCAGTTCACCTGTCTCCTATCATTTAGCATGTTGTAAGTAAAATTGCTAGGTCTGACATATACCGAATGTCTGTGTATACCAAAGAGAGATTTGACCTACAGCCAAAAAAAATGTGTCACTATTAGAATTAGAAGCCATATTTATTAGAATATGGCTGCTTTGGGACAACGCTGCATATACATGTCTAGTGGTAGGCAGTATGGATCATCTGGAAGTCTTACTGTAGATTATTTTTGCAAATTGGATACTTAAAAACATTTCAAAGCTCTTAATTTGAGGCCTCTCTCATTCATGACAGCACTTCCAGTGAATAGAATACACGGCATAGAGTGTTGACAGAACTGAGTTCTTAATAGGTGATATCCTGCCCTCACTGAGGTCAATAAGGTGTTGGTGTGTTTTTTTTAAATTCCTTTGAAGGGTCAAAATTTTGGGTTTTGGGGTTGTTTTTTTTTGGTCTGTGAATAACATTTCTCCAGTTTTTAATTTTGAGGATTTTTATATTTAATTGTAACAGATTTTTTTTTTCCCCCACTGTTTTAAATTTAACAGTGACACCTTCAAAATAGGAGGTTCTTTCTGGTTTTGTTTCTAAGAGTAGACCTATTTCCCTTCCCACTCCACACTCTTTAGTAGGTGCAATTTATATTCAGATTTGGTCGGTAGACTTCAAGTTCAGAGTTCTGTTCACCAATTTGGCTGCTTCTTCCTAATTGCTTTTTACTTAAAAAGTAAATACATTAGAAAAAGCTACTGTAGACAGCACATGTCCAACCTGTCTTCCAGAGGAATAAAAAAACCCTTGCACCTGATGTAGGGTATATTAAAGAAGAGAACATATGCCTTTCCTAAATAAGCATAACAAAATAAATTTTATATAAATTTGCTGCTAGAGGATGTAGGAAAGCTGCTAGGATGGCTAAGGCCTCCTTGGAATTAAAGCTGGCGAGAGGGGTCAAGGACAGCAGAAAGAGCTTTTTCAAATACATGGCAGGTAAAACTAACACCAGAGGCAATGTAGGCCCGCTGATGAACGGGACGGGTGCCCTGGTGACAGAAGATACAGAGATGGCAGAGTTACTGAATGACTTCTTTGTCTCTGTCTACTCTGCTGGAGGCAGTCCTGAAGAGCCCTGTACTGCTGAGACCCCGGATGAAGATAGGTCAACGGAGCGGTCTGCCTTAGTCGATGAGGAATGGGTTAAAGACCAGTTGAGCAATCTGGATATCCATAAATCCATGGGTCCAGATGGGATGCACCCGCGGGTGCTGAGGGAACTGGCTGAGGTCATTGCCAGACCGCTCTCCATCATCTTTACCAAGTCTTGGGAAACGGGAGAGGTGCCTGAGGACTGGAGGAAAGCAAATGTCACTCCTGTCTTCAAAAAGGGCAAGAAGGAGGACCCGGGTAACTATAGACCGGTTAGCCTCACCTCCGTTCCTGGGAAAGTGATGGAACACCTTATACTTGGTGCCATCTTAAGGCATATCAAGGATAAGAGGGTTATGAGGGGCAGTCAACATGGCTTCACCAAGGGGAAGTCGTGCTTGACCAATCTCATAGCCTTTTATGAGGAAATAACACGGTGGATGGATGATGGCAGAGCGGTGGATGTGGTCTACCTCGACTTCAGCAAAGCGTTTGACACGGTCTCCCACAGCATCCTTGCGGCTAAATTGAGGAAGTGTGGTCTGGATGATCGGGTAGTGAGGTGGACTGTGAACTGGCTGAAGGAGAGAAGCCAGAGAGTTGTAGTCTATGGGGCGGAGTCTAGTTGGAGGCCTGTGTCTAGTGGAGTGCCTCAAGGGTCGGTACTGGGACCAGTATTATTTAATATATTCATCAACGATTTAGATGAGGGAATTGAGTGTACTATCAGCAAGTTTGCTGATGACACTAAGCTGGGAGGGGTGGCCGACACGCCAGAAGGCTGTGCTGCCATCCAGAGGGACCTGGACAGGCTGGAGAGCTGGGCGGGGAATAACTTGATGAAATATAACAAGGGAAAGTGTAGAGTCCTGCATCTGGGCAGGAACAACCCCAGGTTCCAGTATAGGCTGGGGAACGACCTGTTAGAGAGCAGTGTAGGGGAGAGGGACCTGGGGGTCCTGGTGGACGACAGGGTGACCATGAGCCGACACTGTGCCCTTGTGGCCAAGAAGGCCAATGGCATCCTGGGTTGTATTAGAAGGGGGGTGGTTAGTAGGTCGAGAGAGGTCCTCCTTCCCCTCTACTCTGCCCTGGTGAGACCTCATCTGGAATATTGTGTCCAGTTCTGGGGCCCTCAGTTTAAAAAGGACAGGGACCTGCTGGAGAGAGTCCAGCGCAGGGCAACTAAGATGATTAAGGGAGTGGAGCATCTCCCTTATGAGGAAAGACTGAGGGAGCTGGGTCTCTACAGTTTGGAGAAGAGGAGATTGAGGGGTGACCTTATTAGTGTATATAAATATATAAAGGGGGAGTGTCACGAGGATGGAGCCAGGCTCTTCTCAGTGGCAAACAATGAAAGGACAAGGGGTAATGGATACAAATTGGAGCACAAGAGGTTCCACTTAAACCTGAGAAGAAACTTCTTCTCAGTGAGGGTGACGGAACACTGGAACAGGCTGCCCAGGGAGGTTGTGGAATCTCCTTCTTTGGAGACATTCAAGACCCGCCTGGACACGTTCCTGTGTAACCTTATCTAGGTGTTCCTGCTCCGGCAGGGGGATTGGACTAGATGATCTTTTGAGGTCCCTTCCAATCTCTAACCTACTGTGATACTGTGATACTGTGATATGCAAAAAATTAAGTTAAGGACACAGCAGGATTATCAAGACCGGCACTTATCATTTTGTTAAAGGTAGAATTCCTGATAGTGACTTTTCCTTTTGGCCTTCCCCATTGCCATCTCTTGCCCCGGCCCCCCATGTTCTTAGTTGTTCTCATTCTCTGCCTTCACAGATTTAAGAGTCAAGCTTTCTTTCTCTAATCATTCTGCCACAGAAAGTCTCTCTTTCCCTGACCAGTTTCCCATCTGATTCTGTTCCAGATTTCAGGCTGAAATAGCCATGCACAGAATTTCAGTCTTTTGTCAATCTCCTAGGCATGTTCCAATCTGCTGTTCCCCATTTTCCATTCTAGGTTTTTCTGGCCTTTCTGCCAGTCTAAAACTCTCAGACTGACTGAAGTCAATAGGAGACAATACTGAGAGTCAGTAACAGTTCTTCACTGGAACTACTTGGTGCCCTAGAATTTATCAGCAGATTTAGGGAAAAATCCTGCTCATTCCCAGTAGCATTGGGCTGGATCATTGCCAACTGTCATCACATCTTTGAAGAAATCAGTCATGGAATTCAACTTGATTCACAGAGCCTTAGAAAAATGTTGGCTTCTTTGACTCCCAAAAACAGTGTGTAATGCTTGAGAAGCATCCACCTAGCAAATATTTTCTATGTTACTGCAACCAGTCTTAAATTAAAAATGTTGAAGGTGCATACAAATAAGGTTTATAGTTATGAGTATGGCTCTCAAACTTCATTGTATTTAGTGACATCTAGAATTTCTGATTTTTTTTTATTATTCTATTCATCTGAGACAGTGCAATGTTTTTTCCTGTTCTGTTTTTTCACCTGTTGATTGATTTGGTTTTTTTTTACCAACAAAAGGCATTTATTTTGCTTTGGGTTTTGTTCAGCTTGGTTTTAAATTGGTTTTACAGCTATATACAGTCATAATTGAGTCCTTGGTGCTGTCATATGCTACTATCTGAAAGACATGGTGACATTTGACACCACCCTACAAATCATGTTATATATTTCACTGCATGGGAGAGAGGGCACAAGCTTATTTCTGCATATCATGTGACCAGTAATCCCTGCCTGCAGCATACCATCATTTAACTCTCCACAATTCATCTTACTATATTAAGGACTTTTCTTATTTTTCTTATATTAGTTGTATAATGCTTATCTGTATGAACAGGGATCCATTCCCCGAATAATAAATTTGCATTACCTCCATTAAAAAAACAAACAACTAATAAACAACCAAAACAACAACAAAAAACCCTACCAAAACCAACCCCAAACAAAAATCCCAATGAAGTTGTCTTTTCTACTATCTTTAGTTTTAGGTGTTTATTGCATTCAGTTCTGACTGAAATATTTTTACTGCTCATTCCTTCTGACAGTTACTAGTTTTAACTTCAGTTTCCTCATGTTGTATTTTCTCACACAGTCCTCAGCTGTCTTAGAAATAAAAAGATGGATCTGGGATTGCCTTTTTCCTAGCATTATTGCTACTTTATTTTAACTGATAGCATGGGCACAGAGATGACTGTTGAAGCTGAGCTTTGTATTTTGTATTCCACTTTGGTCTGCTGAGTAAGAAACGTGTTTTTCATGACAGCACTTCTGGTTTGAAGCTCTTATGGCAGAAATCCTGGGAAAGACACTTGTGCGGGCTGCGAGCCAGCCACTCCTTTCATGTTAAGCAGAGATACTAAAGCCTAAAAAGATGCTGTTCTTTTTTTACGTAGATTGACTCATTTATATTTTCCTAAAGCTTCCAGTTGACTTTGTTTATGCAGTTAAAATACTTCTTCAACTCAGCCTATATATTTGCCGTCAGTGAACTTGTTCATTCGTGGCAAATGGGGAGAAAACAGGCTGGAACACCTACCAGAACCTACCCATCTGCTTCAGTGTGGCTGAAATAGCTTAAACTGCATTTGCACACAGCTGTGTGGCAGTAGCCCTGTAGATAGATGTACCTACTGTTACTGTAATTTAACTATTCAGGTGAATAGCGGTGAAGCTATGCATAATGCATTCTTTGCTGTGAGCTAGAGCACTCCCCTGGCAAGTGAAGCCTGCCCATGTTACTGCATTCACACCAGCTGAATTTAGACTGCAAGATAGGAAAACAATAAAAGTGAAAGCAACCTTGTGTTTCTTTGTTGAACTGCATTATTTAGTGTCTAAAGAACTTGGTGTGCTTCCAAAATCACATTCATTTCATTATTTTACGGCAGTCCTGTACTGGCCATTCTGTCTCTTGCCTGGTAATCTGCTGCTTTGTGACCTCAAATCAGATTTTCCAGAAGTGGCAGTGGACAGGAGGAAAATGCAGCAGTGGAAACTGCAGATGCCAACCAGAAAACCCTTTGTTCCCTACCCCCATATAAGTCTAGATAGTATTTATGATACTACAGACCAGCCTGGGGCAAGTTTCCTTGAAGACCCTGGTAATGACATTGGTTCCTTTGCATATATGGAAATTGAAGGATTCTAGGTGAGCATGCTTAGATGTGAGTTGTTCTGAGCAGTTTTACTGGAAGAAGAATAATAAAAATGAATGCATTTCATGGAATTAGCATGAAGTTAATATGGTTGCCAGCTTTTAATGGGTGCTTCTGCAGTTTTATTCTGCAGAATGAGTAAAACTGTGTACTTGGTCTTTGCTAAGATAACAGTATCTTGCTGGATAAAAATTGTGTTGCACTCTGACGATGTCTGGTTGAAATGGTTAAAGCGAAGCCATTGAATATCTTGAGCAGGAGTTGTCTTGATGGTTGGCCCAGCTTCTGGCTTTGGCTCCTAAAGCTCCTACTCAGGCACCACTGCAGGTCCCTCCTTTGTCTCTTCCTTTTGAAAAGAGTAGCATCTACCTGACCTGCATGGGTTTGTGATTCAGTTTTTGTGATTTCTTTGCTGAATTAATTTTAACTCTGATCGGTTCCCTTATCTGGTTTGTAACACAGGGGGAAGGAGAGATAGCTTTTTTTTTTTTTCCTGCTTCTTCTTCTGTTGGTAGCATTCATTTGCAGTTTTATATAAATAGGGTCTGAGGCATGGGATCAGAACTTCTTAACACTGGTTTTGTTGCTGAAGTCAACATATTGCATAACTAATGCTCTCATTTCAAACCATATGTTCCATATAAATATGTAACTTGCTTAGCATACCTTGGAGTTGTATAACACTCTACACGTCTTAAGTCAGAGGTACTCTTAATGGGATTAGATGCAATCATAATTGAATTACTGTGGGTGATACTGGATTTAGGGGTTTATTCCCCTTAGATCTGTCTGAGTATGTTAGTGAAATAGAAAGCTGATTTCAGATGGAAAGAAAAATGCATATCTGATGTTTTCTTTCAGATGTTCCTAAGCTCCAGCACATATCCTGAGATTCATGGTTATTTGCATGCAAAGGAGCAGGGGAAAAAATCCTGGAAAAAGTTGTACTTTCTTTTGAGAAGATCTGGCCTTTATTTTTCCATTAAAGGTACATCTAAGGTAAGGGAATAAAATAAAAAAAGAAATATAAGGGAGAACATAATGAAGTTAGAGCAAATATGTATGTATTTAAAATCTGTTATAATAACAAAAATTTTACTTTCAACTTACAATGATAAAAAGGAAAAAAAATAATTACAGGTAAAATCTAAAGTGATATAAAATTGGGAAAGTATTGTCTTAAAAACAGTAGTTGCTTTTTGTCTAACTTTGCTTCATTCTGATCACTATTTTTCCAGTCAGTTAATAAAGTACCCTTTTAAAATGAATTTTTAACTAGTAGTTAAAATGCTGAAGTGTAAGTAGATGCTTTGAAAAGTGGTTGTCTTACTTCATTATGTAAAATAAACAAAACCCTGTGCATAAAGGGATTTTACAGGAAGATTTTGAGAGTTCCCACATTTTGTCACTGTACAGTTTTCCATTTTACTACAACTTTCTGGTGGCAGTTCTTTAAACCTGATAATTTTAAACAGGATAAATTGGAGTTTAGACACCTTTTACGTAAACCACTTAAAGTTTTTTCTTGTTCTGAATTTTCTGTGTTAACTGACAGAGTAATCATGGAGCTACTTTTATATCCTTCAGCAAATTTCTTTTGTTTTCTTCCTTAGCTTAGTTCATCTTAGAGGATGGAGATAATGGTTACAAACAGTAGTGGACAGTTTTCAGATTATGACAGTACTTTTTATTTTGATGTTTGAAATACATACAGCTGTCAAAACTTGACTCCTACTCTGATATTATTATGGCTTGAATTTAGTGGATGTTTTCCCAGAAGTATCATCACTTGTGCTTTGGTTTTTCTCCCTCTCTGGAAGAATGAACTCTTAGACTAGTTTGATGTGTTTTTCCTCTGCATTATGAAATTAATGCTGAGTTGTCTCTTTCTAGATTTCATGATGTCAGAGTTAAAACTACAGTATGTTAAGAGTATTTTGGAACAGGATAACTACTGTATCTCCTGAGTTTATTATGTGGAGAGGCTGGCTAAAAATAGTCTAACTATAGTACATTGCTCTTCTTTTTAGGAGCCAAGGCATCTGCAGTTTTTCTGTGAATTCAGCAATAGTGATATGTACATGTCTTTGACAGGCAAAAAGATTTCTGGAGCTCCAACAAACTATGGATTCTGCTTTAAGGTACAAGCTTATTATTCTGATACATATTAAAGTAAGCCACAATTTTTAGGTAAGCTGAAGATACTTTAAGGTTTCTGAAAACAATATTCAGCTGTCTCTTATAAAATAGGAGAATTAGTGGCTTTTATTTCAACAGGTATTATCTTCAAGATATGCATTAATGCTAAAAAAATGTGCTGTGGCCTTCTAGCCTAACAAATCAGGAGGAACCAGAGACCTGAAACAGCTCTGTGCAGATGATGAACAAAGTAGGACCTGTTGGATGACAGCAATTAGGTTGCTCAAGGTAATTTTTCTGTGTGGAGTTAGCTTCTTGCTTAAGTTTACTATGTGAAATTTTGATATTGTGTGTAGAGGAGTATCTAGGTTCCTATGCAATAGCAATATCAGCTTTCTACTTTGAAATGTGAAAGCTTATTATATTTCATCCCAATAAATGAAGACCAAATTACTGAAATCACTGTAGGGCATGGGATGATGCCTTGAAGCCTCAGTCCTGCAAATACTTAACTGTAAGCATATGTTTGTATGCAACCATGTTGAAGTCATTGAGATTATTGAGTAATATTGAACAAAACAACAGGAATACACAAGAACATTTTTAGTATGCTTTCAAAATGTGTCTATATGTGACAAAATAGGAGTAGGTCATTTGTTGTATTAAACGGGTAGTGTTTAATTCAGAGTGTACGTTTATAAAGGCAGCAGCAACAATGATGATAATATGCATTTCCTTATCCTAACAGCATTTGTCCCTCAGTTTTAATGATAAAGAAAAGCATGTGTTATTATTTACATCTGGGAAAAACAATTTGCTTGGCTTAGGTTTATAATTTAAAATGCTAACCATGTTATTTTCTGGTTTTAGTATGGGATGCAGCTGTATCAGAATTACATGCAACCATATCAAGGTAGAAGTGGCTGCAGCCCTTTGAATATAACACCTATGGTATGTCCCACAGTAGCTCCATGAATGAATACATTGTTTCTGCCATCATGCTATTTTTAAATAACTTGTGTCAGTCATCCTACTGACCTGATCCTGCAAATCTTTGCATGTGCAAATGCTTGCCAAAATATTCAGGGCTGTCAGGGTTGAATACAGAGCTAATTAATTACTTAATGCAAGTCAGGTAGTTCAGAGCAATTAAGAGGTTTTTTTCCCTTTGTCAAATCACAAGTATTTTAAGAGTTCATCGGCTTATTATCACAGTCAAAAAGAGTGGAAATAGGATTTTGGAAACAGCGGCAGAACTATAAATGCGTTTAAAAAGAAGCAAAGTGTTTAAGGATACACATGCTCTAAGTGCTGTATAAGAAAGCTGTAACAAATCCTTTTTGATATACAGTAATACTTCCTTTTTTTTTTTTTTCTTTTTAATATGTAATGTTAAGTACTTGAGGTGAATTTCAGTTGATGCAATACTGACTGGACTTCGGAGGAGCACTCTAATTTAGCAGAACTGAAATTTGGAGGACAGCAGCCTATACTAGATGCTGTGTCCATCTCCTCAGTCATATAGTTGGGATTGGCTCAGGTTGTCTTTCAATATCTTATGTTATCCCAGTTCTTTATGAGTCATTTGATTTCAGACTTTTTCATGGATGATTTATATCACTTTTTTTTTTGTTGGCTAATTTGAATAAAAGTTACTTGTTGTAAGGCCTCATGACAGTGATTTTGTGGTGGATTTTTTGAGCTTTTATTGTAGCTCTTGCTGTTAAAATGCCTAAAGCATGCATTTGCCATTAAAGATATTAAAAAAATTAGTTTTCAGTGATATTGCTAATAAGCATGGTTTCAAAACTGTGATTAATACATGGACCATGTCTTCATTTCCTGTTATGTGAAGCTGTTACAATAGCTAGCTGCTGCTTTTATAATGGATCTGAGAGCCATTACTGATTCTCTCTTCTCTTACACTACTACTGCGTGCTTTTTAACTCACACAGCTTGTAACACAGACGGGATCTATAACCAATATTAAGCATGGCACTGTTTTTCTACTTGTGCATAATTCATGAATTAAACAGCAAATTGGATAAACTTGGGAATTGACTGCACAAGCTAAGGAACATACTTCACAGGGAACCACTTCCATGTTTCATATTCCTCAATAACTCACAACCATGTCAGCTACAAGGAGTTCCCTCCACTCTCCTAGAGACAAATGTTTTCTCTTATTTCACCTGTGGTTTTTACTTTTGCAGAGTTCTCTTCAGGTTACAGCTACTCAGGCAGACCTTAGGTTACGATGTCAAGAATTACAGGGAACTGTAATTTCTAGTTACATTCATGCTTGTAACCAAACAGAAACAAAACAGAGCTTCTTTTTTTTTTTGGACTGGGAAGCTTTGCTAGCCCTACAGAAATTGGGGCCTCTTGTGTTCCAGATTTTACTTTAATTCATACAATGCTAGAATGTTCTTTTAATCTTTTGATATTCCATTGCCTGCCAACATTCAAGCCATTACAATCTGTATTAAACTTGATTTTGTAAACCTCGGTTTCTGATAAATATTTTGATGAGTTTTAAGGCTTTTTTGTCAAACATCGGTGTTTTTATTCTGTTGCTACAAACTTGATCTTCACTAAGAGAAAAAGTATAGCGGATCCTACAGTTGTTAAGTCTGTAAAATCCAGTAAACTTTGAGTGAAAATTTATATTAAAATATGTTTATAAAATGTATAATGAAATATTCCAAATCTTTGTTAATTTGATGGTTGTGTATAAGAATTTTGTATTTTCTCCTTTTTTTATGTTACTTGGACAACTTAATAACAGTTTTCTGACCTGTTTTGACATGCAAAGGGCTTGTTATAATTAAATATATAAATAGAGTTTTGGGTAAATTGATTCACTTCTCATCCATTGCAGTAAGGCAAAAAGATGATCTCTCCTGCCAGACTGTAAAATTGCAGTTTACAGCAGCACTGGAATTGCAAATGCTCCCTTGGGTTAAATGAGTTTGGCTCTGATGGAAAACACTGCAGACTTGAAACACCACTTACAAAACATAATGTTTTTTCAGAAGCTGACTTCTCAATGATAGATGTTTAAAAAAATGAACAAACTAAATCTAGTTTTCTTTGTTGCAGAGAAGCATTTCAGAAAACTCTTTGGTAGCAATGGATTTCTCAGGACACAGAAGCAGAATTATAGAAAATCCAACAGAAGCCCTTTCAGTTGCAGTCGAAGAAGGATTAATGTGGCGGGTATCAACGCCTTTATCAGAATAATATTTTCTGGGTTGTTTTTGTCTGATTGATTGTTTTTCTAACAAAAAAAAAAAAAAGCTTTGAAATCATGTTTTTACTTCTCTCTCATACAGAGAAGAGGTTGTCTACGACTCAACTCACATGGTAGTCCTATTGCCATGTCTAACATGGGTACGTGTGAGTTAATTGCCAGAGAAATAAAATAGCTGGTTCTTTCAACAAAGGCAAAACATTTTTAAAAGATCTTTGTTTTTACAGCTATACACAGATCTCAGTCGTGGTTTCATCATAAAATATCTAGAGAAGAGGCTCAGAGACTTATTTTGCAGCATGGACTTGTAGATGGGTAAGCTAATTCTTTACATAACTTTTCTGAGACACATTTCTAGTCAAAAGCTGCTATTTTAATGTACTTCTTATTGGGGGAGGGAAATGGAAGAAAAAAGAGTTTGCACTTACCTGATAGAAGTAAAAAGTATTTTATATAGGGCTATCTGGGGATCAGTTGGTTTCTGTTTTATATCTTCTGGAAGCAATAAAATGGTGATCTAACACTTTGATTCTGTCACTGACCGATTACTTATGTCTGCTCAGTGCCAGGCACTTGAGCTCTGTATTTGCACAATATTCTCTGGGAACTGTCAACTTTGGCACCAGTGTCTTTTGTATCTCTTATTAGTGATGAAAGAATGAAAAAAAAAAAAGCCTGAAAACATTATTCTGAGATGAACTGTGGAGGGACAGCCATTGAAAAACTTATGCTTTTCCTCATAAAATGACTAAAAAAATCATATTATCCCCTAAAGGTAAATAATAAATGGTAGGATAAGACTTTTTTCTCTCATTTAAATATTAATTTTTTAAAAATAACAGTAAATAAGTATTTTATGTTCAAATCCTCCTATTTTTCATTTTTATGTTTTTATCCTTACTCCTGTATTAAATGTAAATTTGGACCTCTTTTATTCAATGAGTAATTGCATAAAACTCTTTAAGTTTCTCTGAGTCTGTTTCCAGTTAGGTGGCTGTAACATCAGATTACTGGTTAAATTCCTTCAGTTTTAGATTAAGTACATGGTAATACTGTTTTTCTACATCTGCAGAAAAGGCTCTAGGAAAAAAGGGCAATGGAAAGTGAGTCCTACTCAGTAAGGATGGCTAATTGGACTTCTTTTTTATTTTTCCTTCCTTTTCCATGTAAGGGTTCCTATTTTTAAGTCTGTCTAATGATCCTGAAGCTGTTTCTGTACTCTGCATTCATTTTGTATTTGTTACATGAGAGGGACAGGACATGGAAGTGACTCAAACAGGTATTTCCAAGCAGTGTATAATTCCAGGGCTGATGAATCTTCCAGTGTATTTCAGTGGGTACACAAACACAGTTAAATGAAACCCAGTAGACTTGGCGAGTAAAAAGCAGTGGTGTTCAAGATGAACATGCAAATACCTTGCTAACATTAGTTTAGTACAATGTTCTTTATGTTATATTCTTGGATCTATTAATAGGTGTGCATGGTTTTGGTGAGGATGATACTCTTGTATGGAATGTCTAGAATTGAAGAGATCATGGTACTGAGCACTTGTGCTGTCAGATACATATTCAGGAGTTACAATGAAGTCATGAATACATTACAGCATGTGACAAATGCTGTGCTTCTTGACAAGCTGAAAGAATTAATTATCACTACAAATACAAAAGTTTTTAATGAAAAGAATATTTTTGTTCCTGGGGGCAGAGGGTGGGGCAGGGAAAATAACCCATGTTGAGCCTTTTAAGGTGATCCTATGCAGGGAGATATCCTGCTTATATGACAGATGTCATAGGACCTCTTTAATACCATGTGTACCAACAAATAGTCTGCTCATAATGGCTTATAGAAGACAAAGGGACTATTATAGAAAGGATATACAGTAGTATCAGTATTTGAATAACCCAATAGCAGGGACAGCAACAGTCTTAAGGTGTGCTATGAAGGAATAAAGTTTTTGGATCTACTGTTCCAGTGTAAAGCCAAATTTCTTAACTACCAACAAATAGTCTGTTCATAATGGCTTATAGAAGACAAAGACACTATTATAGAAAGGATATACAGTAGTTTCAGTATTTGAATAACCCAATAGCAGGGACAGCAAGAGTCTTCAGGTGTGCTATGAAGGAATAAAGTTTTTGGGTCTACTGTTCCAGTGTAAAGCCAAATTTCTTAACAGACTTTATGTAGCAATTTTATAGATTTCATACTTCACCCCCTAAAGGGCATTTGAAGACATTTCAGTGATAAATGATTGACAGGATTGCAAACTGATTGGCATCTGATTGATGAATGGGATAATAGCATTACCAAAAGCCCCATGACAAAATGCAACTGGTCATTCAGAGAATTCCTGATAAGTTTATGAAGGAGTAGTTGTTTGGAGTCATCCAGCATGTCTGAAAAGCTTCCTTTCAACTAACATTTCTAAGATTCTGTGAACTACAATCCTTTCTTCATAATAAAGTTATTAAAAGTACTTTGACAACTAAAGTAGGTCTATTGTGATAAGGTTAGAAAAGAGTAAAGATCTTTTTATGTGAAGGAGAACAAATGTTACTTGTCTTTGCTGTTAAAAAAGGAAAGAAGTAAGAAAATTAACTTTAAAAAAAATGATGAATGGGAACATAAGTCCTAATCAACCTGAATTTCCTTTCCTACCCAATGTGATTGCTTTGTGTACTGTTTAATGTGGATCCCAGTACTGACATTTGGCAACTCCGTTTTGGATATCTGCGAAGTGCCACATTCTTATAGTATTCTTTTTCTGAAGAAAAATAAAATGCCGGTCCTTAATGACAAACATAGAAAACATTCAAGTTTATGCGAAGGATCTGTGTAACTGTGCTCTGAACATTTTTATTTGTCCTGAAGACGGTGAAAGGCCACTAGGTGGTGAGAGAGAGCTTGTTAAGAGAGCCTGAGTCTACTGAAGTGTCTTACCTATCCGTATATTTGCTGTGTGCTCTTACCGCATGCCGAGTTGGCAGTTATCCCTCTTTGATAACTAAATTAGTATCAGAGCTCCGAATTAGAATGTATGGGGATTTCGATGGAAGTTATAATGATTATGGACTCCAAAATTCTTAATTCCAGGTATTTTCTTACCTTGTAAAAATAGAACTCTCAAAAATTTTGAGGATGAAATTAGTAGTTTGCATCCATGCCGTTAGTGAAAATCCACTGTAAGCCTTTTCTGCTTTCTTCTCCTGAAATCCTTTCTTTTCATATAGCAGTTATGCTCTCATTCCTGGTACGTGCTTGGACAAAAGTAAGTGGCGACTAGTGCTTACATGGTTGATACGTGCAAGTCCATCTTACCTGTTTCTTTTGTGACCTGAAAGAGCAATAAGCTTTCCAGTGGCTGTCCCTCCATTTCCCTTGTTTGGTACATTTATTAGCCGTATCTGTTCCAGACCTGCACAACAGAGTTTGGACTCTGTCCACTACAAAGGTGTGAATCGGGTACTTCCCTCTGTCCTCCAAACTGTTCTCAGCTGATATTCCAAACCCAGTAATTCAGTGAAAGCTGTGTCTTATTAGTAATCATCCTTAGCCTATACCAGGATTATGGCAAAATTATGTCTGTCTACAGCCTGGTTGGAATACGTTTTCAGTGAACTATTTGCAGTGACAACTGTTAACCATTGAGAGTGTTGTGATTTGAATAATGATACCATAAAGTGAGCAGAGTGTACCTGTGTCTCAGTGGGAATTGTGCTGATGTGCAGGAGTGTGCATTTATAAACATTGGCCAGATGTGAAAGTCATTCTGCAAGTCTTGCATTACCCTTTCTGTAAACTTCCTGTTAAGCCACCTTTTGAATTCCCCCTATAACATTTGTGATTTAGGTAACACAGTTGCACAATATTTGGGTCAGAGCCCAAATAAAAATTTTGTTCAAAGCACAAACTTTGAGGGTGCTTTTCTGTCTGAAGAGATGCATTGTAATTCTGTGCAGTGTAAAACCAGTGCCTACAGTGTCATTCATTCTGAGAATGCATATTTTTCAGATAATAAGACAAGGTGAAGAAGAATTTAAGAAAAAGTATTTCCAGTGACACATTTGCAAAGAAACACTGATTATAAGCATGATGTACATAATTAATGTTATTTTTGCTTTTCACTAATACTTACTATAATGAATTACAACAGTTCTAACTGGATGTTCCCAAAAGGATTTCCAGAATGCTCTTACTGTGAACATTTTCAATCTCTTTTAGGGTATTCCTGGTACGTGATAGCCAAAGTAACCCCAAAACATTTGTATTGTCATTGAGTCATGGATTAAAAATAAAGCATTTTCAGATTGTACCTGTAAGTAAATATTTCAGTTTATATATACAGTTGTAAACCAAAACAATTGAATAATGATGATAGAATATTGATGGATTTTTTTTTCATTTGCTCTCATACAGAAGGTGTAAGCATAATACCTGTCACTAAAAATAATTAGTATTCCTGAGTAGAGCTGAACATTTGTGAGCTTTGATGTTTGATCTGTTACAAAGCTAGACTAGTATTGTGAAATTCTAATATGTGTCTTAAAGAAATAGACAAATCCATTCTAACTGTAGCAGAAGCAACCCTGATGGGAGAAAATCTTGTATTAATAAAGGTCATATTACCTGTTCAATTTAGATATGTGCACAGTTTGGTTTTAGTCATCTGTTTAGGTGGCCTGCCTATGACGTGTGTGTGTTTGTGTATCTGACTCATCTGTTCAGGATAGTTTCTGTCAATATTTTTCAAACTTTTTTTCTGACCTCTCTTCTTCATTTGTGTTATTGTGGTATATTCATGGCTAAGTCTTCTTCAAAGGGACAATTTTAGCAAAAAATTGATATCTTTATTTACCTCAGCTACTCAGATGTAAGCTGAAATTTCCTAAACTGAAATCATATTTCCATCAGTTTTCATTGAAGATATCATCCAGTTATCCTACTGGAATGGCCAGCTTTCCCCATCTCTTCCACTCTTTTCTGAGGTGGTTTATGCTGGTTTTTGTACAGGATGCTCCTGTTGAGATGAAAAACTCTTTAGTGTTATAGGTTTTAGCCACATAACTGAGCAGGCCTATAGCTTTTTATTCTCTCTTCACAAAAAACTTTCTTCCAGACCACATAATATTCTAGCCTCCAGGTTCCTTCCTCCTAAAGTTTCTGTGATACTTTGCTGTTTCTCAGTAAAAATGAGTGTAGTGGCTTTTGTTTTGTTTCTGATCTGGTGATCCACTATAATCATTCACCAAATTTCCATATGCCATACCTAGGGCTTGTAGCTGATATTCTCCCCTAAAAAAGTTCCTGTAGAATAAAACTGAAGCACTATTTCAGGGGAGGAAAGGAGTGAAACAATGTTAGTTACAAGAATTGCCCAGGATTTTTGTTGTGTTTAGGAATAAACAATGGAGGATACCTTCATCCAAAAGTGTTCTGGATTCCTTGTGAGCATCAGTGTATGCTCTGTGATTAAAATCCCAAGTGTAAAATCTCTGTGCTACTGACTGTGGTTGCTTCTATTATTTACTTTGGAAAAGTGTTGTGTTGCTTAGAAAACCTTCTGAACTCCATACAAATACTGTATGATTCTACTGCATTGGGATGTCATTGAACTCTCAATTTTAAGAGACCACTTTTTCTTTTCCTATCAGGAAAGAGAACCTCTCTTCTGTGAGAGCAGAGATAGCCAGAAGCTGCAGTTATCTTCAGTTTTCCCTGAGCTGGATAATTCTCCTCTTCTCTTCAGAAAAATTACCCAGTCAATTCTTATGTTCTTCAGATGTAAGCAGTGCATTTGAGGAATTAATCATATACATGCATGCTAAAACCTTGCTCTCCTGTTGTAGGGTCTTTGGAGAAGCCAGGAATTCCTTGTTTTGACATACAGACTTTGGTCAAATTTTCCATGCTGATAGTCTAGATGCTTGTTCCACTTCAGTGCAAATTCTATCTTACTTGAAGGACTTTTTTTTAAGTTGTTGTTAAAGTAAAGTGATTTCTTCTGTGTTAGTTACCAGGGGCAAAAATAAATATCTGTAATGAGAACAACTTAATCTGGAGAGAGAATGTAAATATGGGTCCTGTTAGTTCACCAAACATAGACATATTTCAGTTCCTTTCTGTCATCTAATTTGCTGTTGCATTCAATACCCAGACTTATCGCATGTTCACTTTTTGCTAGATAATACTCTTCAAGGAGTTCCAAAAAGCATTTTTTTGAGGGGAGGGGTGCTGTTGATCTTCTAAATGAAATTATTGTTTTTCTAAGAAACAAGGCATTTTGTGTTACTTCAATAAATTGGTAACTTATTAGTTGAAGATCAAGGTTATCTTTTTGAACTTCAAATTTTACTGTTATTCTAAACTCTTGCCTTTTTCCAGTCATTGGGAAAAGAAAATAATTTTCCTACTAAATATAAATAAATAAATGGCATTTAGAAGGTCTTTTTACAAGTTAAAAATAATTCAGTCTCTAAATGAATGATTTTTCTCTTACATTTTAGGTTGCTTCATTTAAAAATACTGCATTTAAAAATGTCTCCTTTCAGATAGGGCATGAAGCCTACTAATTCAAGCTTCCTCTACATTAATAAGTGCATCATGTTAACATTGGTAACATGTGCAACAGGTTTTGCAGGTGGGTGGCAGGGAACTGATTGCAAAAGATTGAAAAGAAATCCTTTGGGGTACATTTAGGATCCCATACTGTGAAAACTGGAGAACTTGATATCTTAAATGTATTTTTCAGCCTTACTACTCTGAGCTGATACAAGTTAATTTCAGTGTAGAAATTACTTGTTCTGTAGTCCATGTGAAGGAAGAATGAATATACATTTCTGGGACTGTCTTTTTCCACTAAAAGTTTTTTCATAATAGCCTTCTTAGCTTGCAGAAAATGTTAGGTTCTTGAGCAGCATAACTTTGATATGAATTTTTCCTTTGCAAAATAAAGATTGCTTTAGAATTAGCAATCTGGTATTCAGTTCAAGCTTTGGGATTAATTTGGAGGGGGGATAAACAAGCTGAAAATTGAATCCTGTTCAAGAGGCTTCTGAATTGTCAACTCTTCCTTGTCTTCAGTGTGTTGGCAGGAAAATTGCATGCAGAAGAAAGTCCAATGGATGATAATCCATTTTCAGGTTCTTAGCTGGAGCACAGGAATTTACACATGCACGCATTGGTAATTCCTTAACTAGCAGTGTTTGACCTCAACTCACCAAGTCTGAGAATAAAGAATTTGCAAACTACTTCCAGACATGGTAGAAAGGGGTAGAATAGCCATAAGTTGTAAGCAATTCAACAGCTGCTTCAGATGAGAAATCTTAATTACAGGTAAGAGAGCTAATTATATCTTCTCCTTTCCCCTGTACTCCAGTAGGATAGTTGCATCTTTGCCTCACATACCATCTGCTGCTCTACACTAGCCCTGCTTCAGGATCTTCTGTTCACTACTGTCCAAATCTTGTAAAGTCTCTTTTTTCCCTTTTCTTTTTTAAAAATAGTTTAAGTAGAGATTTTTATCCTCTATTTACATTAGTACTAGTTAGTTACTGTTGCACTGAAGCTTCTTGATACTAGATGCATCAGCAGTAGAGGAAATAAGTCAGCAGTGCAATACAAACTGGCCAAGAGCTAATGTTCAGTAACCTAGAATAGGGAAATACTGATTGTAAATTTTTAAGCATCTGAAAGTCTAAGGTAACATTTCAAGCTATGTTTCTCGGTTTCTTCTTTCTTTCTTGTATCTATGCTAATACATGCATTTGGAGCTGCATCTGTTCTTTCTCCTACAACAAAGAATATATTACTACATCAAGCATGTTATTTTTGCAATGGGCAGTTTCTTTGGTAACCCATATCATCTTGTACACAAATGAAGTAGTGTGCACCTTATAAAGTAAGTTATATAAAATGTACTAGTTAGTTAAACTTGGCTGTTTTGTGTCGTTCTGTAAAAACTCAGTGTTCATAGAAACTCCAGTTATCATTCCAAAGCAAAGGCATAAAGAAGTATTGTTAATGCAGAAAGAATATTATTTATATTATATTTATTTAATTGTTCTTTCCTTTTAGGCACATAACTAAATTAAAGGGGAAGTTGAAGAATGCTTTATCTTTCTGTTGTGAATTTTTGATCTTGCTGTGAATGATCACTGTATTTTTCCTTCTCTCAGCAGTCATGAGATTAAAATATCTTGATCTACAAAGAAGGCTTCTCAAGTATGTCAAGCATAAAGAAATACCATAACAAAGGACAATTTTATTCTATTTTTATTTTTTTCCATTTTTACAGTTGGAAGATGATGGGAAGCTATTCTATACCCTTGATGATGGTCATACCAGATTTACTGATCTCATCCAGCTAGTCGAATTCTACCAGCTTAATAAAGGAGTACTACCTTGCAAGTTAAAACACTATTGTGCACGAATTGCTCTTTAACCAAAGTACCTGTTGTTTCATCAAAGGGAAAGGAAGATACTGGATTTTTTTTTCCCATAAAGGCAATTTGTATAGTAAGAAGGGAAAAAAGCATTACATTGTAAAGAGTCTATGTTTAAGCTGAAAAAAAAAAAAAAAATTCTATATAGATAAGAACTTTGCTTTGTGACAACAAACTTTATGGTTTAAAAAAAAAAACTAATCTTCTTTTGTGTGTAATTCTTTATTGTCTTGGATTTCTTTTGGGTTTTCTTTTTCAACTGAAAACAATTAAAAATGATATTGTGTAACTTCTGCAAAAGTATAACTGAAGGGAAGATCTTTGTTCTTAGGTTTAAAATTAACTTTTTGTCTCTGAATGCCTCTCAGTTTCTATACATCACATAAAAATTATATTTACTGTGGTGAGGATAAGAAGCTGAACTGCACATTTTATTTGTAAATAAAATGAATAAATATTTTGCACTATATTTTTGAATGCAACTTTGAGGATTATCATATCCAAAAAGTGAAAAATCATTAAAACCACTTCTAGCTGATCAGTTGTATTGGGTTGTGCTATTACTATTGTAATATTGTAAAGGACTTTTTTTCCTCTAATGACTAAATCTATATCATTATACAAAGCTGAAGTGTCACTTGCTTGCCTGTGATACATATAAACATGCAGAAAGTATCATGTAGTGTATAACATGGTTTGGTATATACCTACAGTCTCTAACATAGATGGAGAGAGATCTGTTCTGTGGATTGTTGCAGAGTTAGGGAGAGAATCAATTTAATTGCCCTTAAAAAATAAAAGTACCATTCAAAGATTTATGAATTTACAATATTTACAAATAAAGGTAAATCTAGTGAACATTACTCTTTGCTGAAAACCTGGTGAGAGTGTATTTGCAGTCAGTTTCTAGCTTGTTTTATTATTTATCGCAGAGTAATAATTTCAATATAGCTACCAGTCAACCAGTCTTTAGAGATTGAGAAACATGTAACATTTGAGCTAAAAGGAAATGTTTTGGTAGAGCAAGTTGAATTTTGGATCATAGTGTTAGAAATACTTTTGGCATCTCTGTTTTGAAAGAGAGGTGATGCTGATCTTTGAACAAAGACTTGAGTGGAACGGGACTTGGATTGAAAGAGGCATCCCAGTCATGATGCTTTGCTGCCCAATAGGTTTGATCTTGTTATGAGGGTTCAGGATCTAGCCCTGGATATCTTTACTTGGGGTAAAGTCTGGAGTGCAAAGTAGTGCTTGGAGATGGACCGTCACACTGAATGCAGCCCCTCCTGCCTGTGCTTGATTCAATTCTCTGACTGTCAGACAACCCAGCTGTTCTGCTGTTGGAGCTCATGAGAAGGTGAAGGAGGCCTGTGCAAGGGACGGAGTAAGATGGACCAGAGGTGCAGACTAACAGTGTGCATTAGCTGACAAGGTTATGTATATGGAAGCATTAGAATAGTATGGTAACTATGGTTTTGTTATTGTGTGTCTGTGGAAGGCAATCTTAATAACATAATACTGTGATACTTAATTTACTGACTTGATCCACACATCACTGACCTTTTCCTCTGGTATGCAAATGTGTTTTTTAAAGCTCATTAAAAAAGCAGCTCTTCCTAACGTGTACCAAAGATACAGCATATGCGGTGCCTAAGCTCATTACATTAGGAATGCCTTGTAAAACTCTTCACAGTCTAATAAATTTAACACTTAAACCTTGAATGTAATTACAATTTGAATTACAAAAATATACTTTTAATTAAAACCTCTTCAGATTTAGTTTAATAATGTGATTACTTCTCAGGCCTAGTATTATTTCAGAGACAGGTATAGAATAAGAAGAAACATTCCCCTCTGCATCCCTGTTTTTTTGATCATCTGACAAATAAAATGAATTGTCTACGGTACTGCATTTCTACTTGGACATGTGAAAGCTTTGCCATAATTTTTATTTCTATTTATGTGTTTGCTAGCATGCTTGGTAGAGAAGCTTAACTGCTTAGTGAGTGAGGGCCTTTGGGGACCTATCATTAAAAAAAAGAGAATGTAGGGATTACATGGTGGAGAGACATCAAAAATCTTTGCCTGCTTAAGCTTTTTAAAAAAGTGAAAAAAACCACCAGAACAAAAAATCCCACCCAAAAAGAACCACCCCCACCCCCCCCCCAAACAACACACACACAAGAAACCCCCCCCCAAAAAAAAAAACCACAAAAAGGAAACCTCAAGTAAAACAGAGTACTCCTGACTGAACAGGTAATTTAGACGTTTTAAACTGGCAAGTACTCAAAGCATTCTTACTCTGTAAAGTGTTGTCTCCCTCATTTTGACAGCTCTCTATTAAAATCTAAACTGAAATTTTGCTGGGAGTAGAAAATCTTCTTTTACAAATGTGCATACTTTTCCTGAACTGTATGGTTGGTTGTGACTATCTCATGAAGACCAAACCAATAAAAGTAACTAAATCTAGTTTGGTGTTTAAATGCCTTAACAGGCTACCTCCTTGTTTAAATATTACTGAAGGAAGAACCATGAAGGGAGGTAGTCTTAATGTGTAAAAACAAGCAAACAAAACCACCAACAAACACACACACACACAAACAAACAATACCCTTTGATATCCCAGACTACTTTAAAACATGCTAAATGGTACAGGTGGTTGATGTATGACTTGCAAGGTCCTTGCTGGCAACCAGTGTTTTCTTGTCAGAAAGATGGCAGGATTTTTTATGATACCACCCAGGTTATGTCTGAGTGTAAAGTTCTTTGAGGGTGTAGGCAATACTGTTTGAAACAGAATTTCTGTGTGTTAACTGAGGCTTCTGATTAGGAATACTACACTAAAGTGCCCACTGTTACAAAAATAATTGGCTAATCAGGAGTTGTTAACAGCTCAAGGAGAAAGCACAACTATTTTGGGAAAGCCAGTCTGTGACTCTCCAATGGTTTACTTCTCTAAAAATTGTGGAAACTTTTATATTTACCTCATAGAGAATTTAAGGATTTAAAAAAAACCCAAACAAAACCAAAACAAAAAAAATCCACCCCAACCAACCAACCAACCAAAAAAAAAAAAAAAAAACAAACCCAAAACCAGGAAAAAACCCAACCCAACAATAAAAAACAAACAAAAAAACCTGACCAAACCCTCCCCCAAAACCAGCCAACCAACCAAAAAACAACCAACCAACCACAATTTGGTTTGGTCGTGTTTGTAGGGGGCTTTTTCAGTATGTAACGAAGTAATGTGTTTTTATCTTTACTTTGGGCAGGTTAGAATTTACAGTCTTAAACTTCTTGATGTTTAAGTGTCAAAGCACCTAGGTTTGAAGCATGATACGTTAAAAACACAGCATACTTTCTTCAGGTTCAAAATTTAATACTTCCTTGAGTGTACCTGTGTGGTGTAGTGCAGTGCCAGGAAGAGAGAACTGAGTTTGCCATGCAGAGGTACCAGAAGCAGTGTAACAGTACAAGCCCAGCTTTCTATCTGGGGTAATTAACCCTGCAGGAGTAAGCTCTAAAGATGTGAGCTAGTTCAGGGATTGGTCTGAACTTCAGCTCAGCATTGTATTTGTTGGCATGCCCTTTTGTGCCTTAGTTTCCAATCTTAAAATCTTCTTGGCTCAAAGGAGATTAAAAGTTAATTCGCTGGTGTTTCATAATGCATATACATACAGGGCTGGAATTAAGGTTCATGGGCAGCATTAGATGACATTTTTAAACTTGAGTGTTTTTACCTAACAATCTTATTAAGTCATTTAATGAATTTTTTGAAATGTAGCAGGTCTTCAGTTCATCAAACTAAATATTTTGAAAGAGAGCTTTAACCCGTTAAATAAAAGCGGATTACGTATGTAGCTAACTACAAGTGGGATCTTTCAAGGATAATTGAATTTCTGTCAAATGTTGTCTGTTACATCCTGGTTTAAGAATTACAGCGTTTTGTGCTTCCTTGGGGGTAGAGCTATTCTGTAGTGTAAGTGGGTTTAGGGTGTCTTATTTTAAGGCACAGATCAGCTTATTTCAGGAGAACAGCCTCTTTTTTTTTGTTGTTACATTGTGTAAAAGCTACTCATCTTCATCCAAATAGAAGCCGCTCAGCCACCAGTTAGTTTTAACTGTTTAAACCTATTTAATAAATGCATCTTGCAAATGAGTCTAGCATTTGTCTGTAAGGAATCTTATGCAGAATTTTTGTCATCTATATTACTTTAGTTTATAAAAATACAAAGCAACTTACAGCTTACGTCAGCCTTTCTGTTTGGTTAACAAAATAGTTATCACTGTTCTGATATTTTAGACTACTATTCCTCAGCACTGTAATGCATTCCATTTCTAATTTCAACGTTGTAGCTGAAGCTTTCACTGAAATCATCGAAGATGGAACATACGCCATTGCTTGCAAGCTTTCAGAGGTTAAACACTTATGGTCTATGCATAATCAATGTGTATGGTAGTGCAATTAATGTTAACTTTAATGAAATGCATGAATATTTAAAACTTAATGGATCTGGCTTTGCAGCATGCTTTACAGCCTGCTTCACATATGTGAACAGTATTGACTGTTGGCCTCTGGATGTCAGCAGTGTATCGCGAAATTCCTGTAATCAGCCGCTGTTTTCCTGCTTCCTCTCAGAAAAATATCTGTGACTTGTGGTCTCTGCACACCTCCAGAACACCCAGCGCTTTTTCCTCTTATAAATTATTCACTTACTCTGTACCAATTAGTTCTACCAGTTGCTAGGTTTGTTATCAAGTTAAGCTTCAAGACAAGAACCTGAACTCAATGGGTGATTAAAAATTTATTAGCAGAGATGATTAAATATGCAGATAGTCTGTGAAGCTTGTTCTTGAAACCATTATATTACCTTTTTAATACTAATGATTTGTATAATTAATTTTAAAAAAGCCTGAAAGTCTTTAAAAAAAAAATCAGAGTAGGACATAAAAGGATTAAATGCAGAGGAGGCAGTGAACCTGAGTATTAAAACAGCTCATTCACATGTATGGGCAATAAAGCGATTTCTCTACAGGAACAGTCTGTGGGTTTTTTCCCCCTCTGCTAAGTTGATTATTTTATTAATCTTTGAAGCAATTTGGGAAAACTATCAACTAGTGAGTCATATTTTCAAAACAGAACTTTATGCAA